GTTTGATATCACTGTTCATGTACGTTTCTGATTATTTACCACCATTATATTTGATTTTTTGTCATGTTTGTTTGTTTACTATTTACGACATTACCCTTAAGGACAAAGAAAGTCTTCAATTATCCACAGGGATATCTTCAAGCGAATCATAATTGAATTAGGAAAGAAAGAACGCCACTCATCACCCCCATTCCAGTTCTTCACAGATCCTGCTCCGAAACCAGTGAATACGCTTCACTGACGACTAATTGTTTTCAACTTGCTACAAAACCCTGTATATTTGGAATGGAGTAAAATGAGACGAAAAATATTCTCTAGCGTTTTTTCTCGGATTTCCAAAATTCTTCTGCTGAAGGTTGTTCCCGCTTCATGAGGACACCATTTTTTAAACTTCTCAAAGGGCATCTTTTCCCGAGCGTTTTTTTACTCCTGGCTGTTAGGATACTATTAATCTAGTGGCCACTCTAGTGAAAAACAACTACATAGTTTGATTTGCGACTTCAATTAAAACAGTGAATCGTCTCGTGGGACCGCTTCTACGATGTTTAAACTGTTCCTGCCAAATAGCAACGGAACAATCCCCGTATGCTACTTCTGGCGTATGTTTGAAGGCAAAACGAGCTGAATTGCACCCTAGTGGGCTAAGCTAGCATTGATACCTGACTATTTATCAAAACATTGAAGTGGACCACCTGCACCTAAGCCTTTTCTGGAATGGAGAGCTCAGTCGTAGTCCTCTCGCTTTGCGCCAGATTTCCTCCAAAAAATCAATACTATTGCACTGCAGACTGTTCCTGAATGGCGCTGGCGAAAATTTTGACGCATTTTCAAATTTCGCTAGTGCTTCGTTACCTAGGTAATGTCTTTTTGACAAACCTTATTTTGGGCCTTACCGAAACTCCGTTCAAAGTGGATTCCAGATGGGATAGACTCAGGTCGTGGTACATATCCCCCGCACTTGATGGTATCTAGCCTTGAATGGCGTCAGCTGTGCGGAAGAAGCTGATAAATAAGCGAATATGCTTTCGCGGTCATGGTTCTTCGTTCCCGTTCCACTTATTAGCTATAGCACCGAAATCCTGCATCTGCCAGATTTGCCAAGCACAAGAAAGCCAGCCGAATAGAGACTTTTGATAAGGATTGTTAAGTATATATGAAAACTATTCTATTCATCAAATATGAAGTTATTTCATGCTTATATTCTGACTGGAAGGATTTCGGAATTTGATACGACTACTGCTTGAATTTTTTAAGCCATTGCTGACCGCGTGCTGTACCATGTGCAGCACTACCTATGTAGGTGCACTCATAACGCCACACAAAATGGATCGCTGTTCGAGTTGTTCGCTAATTTTTTAAACAACAAATCTACCAACAATTTTTTCCGTGCACAAGAATTACTATGTAGCTGGATATTGATTAAAAACATTGGTAGATTACTAGTTGCTAATAAAACAGACGACAAAAACATACAGAGGTGCACACATTCAAGTCAGGGTGAATATCGGTCGAGGATTCCTCAACGGCACGTCGAGGATTTTCGCCTGATCAGTTACGTTCTCCCGCGCGGACATTCACACTCGCCATGCGCGAGCCGTCTGTGCTCTCCGCGCGTACGTTCACTCTCGGCACTACTCTCGCACAGTACAGAGCCATGGTCGAGGAATTCCTCGACCGTTATTCACCCTGATTGCAGTGATGGTATGGGTTAAACTCATTTAAGGAATAGTTTCAAGGACAGGGTAAATCTCCGTTTTGCAGATGCCTCAGATAGGTACCCAGCTATAAAAAATGTAAGTTTCTATTTTCATTTTTTGTTTCAAAATTTCTGTATTTTTATTTATATTCTTCTTCGAGAAATCGTCAATGCAGTCTACCTTCAAAGGACTCACAGAGTTCCTCCACATAACAATTTCTACAAATTACATGCAGTAGCGGTCAAAAGTGTTCGCCGAAACGATTTTAGTGCATTATTTTTTCTCGCTTGAGCAACGCCCTCCAAAGATTGATATACTATGTTTTCTAGTGTTTTTATATCCTCAAGTCTTAAGAATCAGGATATTCAAAAGAAAATTTTCGAGGTCACCATTGATTTTTTTTCTGGCAAAAAAAAAGAGAAGCACGAAAAACCGTTTCGGCGAACACTTCTGACCGCTACTGTACCTTACGCCTTAAATTTAACTGTTCGCTAAGTCCCATCTTTGAAGTTTCGTTTTTGTGGAAGGTCCATGGCCATTGCACGAAACGTTGGCGAATTCGGCAATTAAAAAAAGTTACGGTACCCTGCGTTATCTCTGTTAACAATAACGCTGCGCAAAGATCATGCCGCACTTCGCGTCTACTCGGAAGTTATCGGGCAACCTTTCTGAACCTTCCCAGCTCGACTCGCCCGTAATGGTCACGAGATTCCGTGCTGAACCAAGTTTTGAAAACCCTCTGCTGACGCCGTTAAAACTGATGCAATCAGCGTGAACGCGATTGCATCAGTCTTCGCCGCCATCAGTGGCACGTGCAAAAGATGTGATCGCTGGGTATTGATTGAAACACGATTTGATACGGACGGAATATCCCAATTCGTTTGCAAAGACAGCAGAAAAATCGCGTAGACCCGCCCACTTAGGCGACTAACCTTGTCAATCAATAACTTCCTCAAGTGGCGTCAAATTCGAATGTGGTTTTTCTTCCTTTGTGACATAAACATCTCGAATCGCAAAATGTGAGCAATCTTAGACGATAGGTAATACTTCTAATGTTTAATTTAATATTTAATAAAAGTTTCATAATAGCTTTCAAGCACCATTTGGGCCGCGCCATTTACCTTTTCTTTTTCTTTTCCCTCTTTCAGGCTGCTTGATGATTACTGTTATAGTTGAACCTCACAAGCAGTCGTTGCCAGTTTCTGGCCAAGAAGTCAACAGCCTTGATTTCATTGCTTGATACCCTTCTCGTGTGAGCTGTTGCGACGATGTCACCATTTTGGCAAGTGAAAGGAGGGATCGCATTTGTAGTTTTGGAAAGGATGATACTTTAGTTACAGTGGAATCATACCCTTTGAAGATAAGGGCAAGAATTTTCTTTTCAAAATGAGAGACAAGTCATAGTCACAGTCACAAGTCACATTATGGCGTCACTATTTTAGAAATTTCTCTAAACTGGAAAATTCACAATTTTCTGTTTCATGCAGAAAATTCAAAAATTTTCTGTTCCACAAATTCCGCAAAGCCTCCCCATTTGCTATCAGCCACCGAGGTCGGCGCATATTTTGAGAAGAGAGATATGTTGGATAGGTAGGACGAGCTGGAAGTACTCTAACCGTACAGCACCACAGAAAGGCCCCGAGATTGACTCGTATGAAGACTTATCCAGAACAGAAGGGGCAACCGCGCCGAACACAAAATTGCCCAACGCCGTGCTCGGCCGTACTCGCGAGGGATGCGCAGGGTCAACCGTGAAATTCGCACGTTTTCGAAAATCTCGCGAAACCCCTCCTTTAGGAGGTCTCGATGCGACCCCCCACCACCACCATGAGACTCAGGAGGCTCCCCTTATACGATCCCCATTCCCACTTCCCCCTTCTCCGACCACCACCCTCACCATCATGGTGTTTCTATAGTATTTGATTCTGAGACCAGCTGACGCAGCTCAACTCCGCCCACTTTTGCTCCAAAAGGGGGAGGGGATATTAATCAAATGAAACGGCAAATATTCTCTACTATTCTCTACTCCCACCTACCTACCTCCCAATTACATCCACAAAATCCCTCAAAAAACCATTCACCCAACAAACTACTAATCCCACTCAACCCCTGAATGCGACCCCCTTCACCAAAACCAATCACAAATTGGACCACCTCGTTTGAACAGTTTTGAATGGTTTTTGAACGGTTGCCCCTGATGCGGAAGGCACCTTCCATTTGTTATAGCCCCTCTAAGTTTCACCATGTATTGTCAGACTCTCGATCGGCAGTTGTACGGAATCATAGGGGCGTACTCTACACGAAAGACTTGTTAACAGTACTGCCCTGTCTCTTTGAAGGTGGTGAGAGACAATTCGGTCGCGCTCTGCGCGCACCGAACAAAGTCCATTTTGGCGCTGATGACATTACACATCGACAACACATAGTTCGATTCTAGTTATGTCCTTAATTGTCATCGTTTTTTCCCACGAGTCTCGTTTTGATCGCCCATTTACAGTGTAAAAAAACAGAACGACCCAAATGATGACTTTAATGCTAATTTACAAGAGTAATAGTTAAAAACAAAAGCGATCTATGGATAGCTGACAAAGATGTGAACACAATTGTACTCGTAAGGGTGACGGCTAGAGTACGATTGAAAACATCACCTAATAATCAATATACCGTTTCACATAATCGAATCGAATCGATAACGGCAGTAGAGTGCCAAGTCATGAACACCGGGAGATCACATGATAGTGGCAAAAGCTGTTGTAACGGGTTCAGGGTGCGTACAAGGCTGACAAATCAAGGGTAGCATCTTTCTATTGTATCCCTACGACATAACCCAAATTAACCGGCTTTTGATCGCAGTGAACGCGCGGAATGCTAAAAAGGCAAAACATTTGAGCATACAGAGAAAGCTCCGCCCACCAAACAAGTTTTGTACTTTTTACTTGCTTCCTGCCTTCGAGAATATACGCTTTATTTGTAGCACAGCAAATGAGGGACCTGTCATGCATCTGCACTTCCCAGTGCAAAGCGTAATTTCACAACAGGGAAACTCATCCAGTGGGCGGGGCTTCACACTAATATGACAGTCCAACTGTAATGTTCTCGACATTCCATAATGTTGTAAATCATCTACGAGCTTCAAGTAGAATAAAAACGTCCTTCTGGCAGTTTCTTGAAATTCTGCCATTAGGAAGATCTAGCGTGTTAGCATAGTTCAGATGCTTTTAGTTTCTTTTCAATGAGAAATCGCAATATGTGGTAGGATAAAGGATTTATATGTACACTGGAATAGCCGGACTGGATATCCGCTTATCCAAGCAGGATCTTTCGCATCTTCATGTCATTCGGCAAGTCGTCGTCGGTGTCCGAAGAACTTTCTGATGAAACGTACGCAGGAGTGGCCGCCGAGCATTTTGGGGAGCTAAAAGTTTGAACGATTAACCTACTTCCCGATGTGAAGGGGCAGGAACAACTGCAGAACATAGAATTGATGGAATAAAAAAATCAGGACCCCCAACTTGTGAAGCTTGGATACCGGCTCATTGCATAAAAATCGATCTATTCATCCCTAGCAAAATTAGGCTAGAAATATACATATTTGCCGACTGTACAACAGCATTCTCTTAACTAACAGAACTTTGAACTAAAAGAAGGGGACGGTTAGTGCAAAGCAATCCGACCAACAAGAAATTGAGGCCCCGCCCACAGTGTGAGTTTACTAGGCGTGTTATTGGCTCAGAGTTTATCGATCTCGCTGATCTTTTCAGAAGGGGTCATGCCAAATGTACGAGTATAGCTGTAAAAAACTGTAACAAAAATTTTGGAAAAATTGAAAGTGTAAGCCAATGCGCCACGCTGGCCAATCCATTAAGGTTGCGCCACGATCTCGAACCAAGCTTGGAGTGTTGGGAGTATTTGGATGCGTTGCAGGACCACTACCGGGGGAGGGTAATTTATAATTATTCATTGGCGTTTGTTCTCAAAATGCTCAATGTTGTTAAGATTACCCAGATGAGATTGACTTACCCGTCCGGGACTTGAACTTGAGGGGGGGGGTATGGCACAGCAGCCTTTTTGCCAAACTTGGCATTGTTTAGTCGTATATGTATAAAAATGTTGCTTGGAAATTCTGCTAAGGGAAATAATCATTACTCACCACAAGAACTGTAACAACGGCACTCGATACTTCCCACAAAAGTCGACGAACTTGACATGTTCAACGCACGCCTCGAAATAGACCCCCTTGCATTTGGGGTTTACACACTGATTTGCTGAATTGAGGTACGTGATGAGCTCCCTGAAATGAAAAAAAACCTTCAGACATCTGCTATCCGGGCTACAAAACCTTATTTACTGACAATGAGAGCGGAGGGGGTCAGAAGCAAGCGATGCCACTACCACATACTTACTCCATAGATCAAGATCCTCCGAGACCTACTCGCAACTACTCCTTCCATTGCCCTCAACTCGCGTTTCCATGAGGTTGTGGTGTACTGACAATGATTTGAAGATGAATACCCCTCGCACAAATAAGGTATAGGCCAGAAACCCATTCAAACACCACTACGATTCCGACTGGCAGCTGAATGCGAGGCTTATTTCGTGAACCAGTCATTCAAAGAGATGCGCTTAAAATACCACCGGTACAGTGCACTTCCACTGTAGTATTTTACATTGGGTTATTATGACGTTTCGAAGGAACCGGTTGTGAATTCCCCAGCATAGAACTGCAGTTTTTGTCTGCCAGCATCGTTCAAAAAGTGTTCGCGGAAGGAAAAAGCAATGGTGATAAGCGATAAGCCTGAGATCACATGATTGTGAAGTACGAGCGCGAAGTAGCAGTGGTTATCATACAGCTTCAAAGCAAAGAAGAACAAGGTCAATGCTATCGAGATTGCAAAGATTTAGTTCAAAGAACATGCCGAGAATGATTACAAATGTGTAGTGCGAGAAATCACCTTGGCAGCACTTCTTTAATCGGAAATTTAGACATTTTCAGTCGAACGAGACGTCCAGCTAGCTCTTTTAACTTCGGCGGCTCCAACTGCATATTGTGGACGAAATGATGAACTGAAATCGAAATCAATTTAATACAACACTAAAATTTAATATTTGAATGGAGAAGGGCTGACGGCTACTGGGTATGCACCACTCAGAAAATAACATTATAGTTTTAATGCCATACCTGCTGGAAACCACCGAAAGTAATTGTAGTCGGGTTTTTGAATCGCTAGGGGCTCAATCAGATCGTTATTGATTATCTACGCGCGCGATTTTCTTGCGCATCTCGTCCGCAGATTTCATCCCTATTCCATTTCTCGCTTGATAGCTTCATCCAAAAAGCATTACAAAAACGAATATTTGTCTCCAGAGGTATGGATACAAGGATCAAAAAAATCTTGAATGCTTCTTATCTGGCCTGAACACACTTCATGATTTGCTGCTGATGTTCAAACTGAATCGATAAGCAGTGCTAGGCCAGATATGAATGGGCGTGAGCGGTTGCGTATCGAAACGAGCGTGTGATTGGTGGATACTTCTAATGCCCAATCACCAGGAGGCTTTCCATCCTTGGACCACTAACCACATATCGATTGCTTTTTAAACATGTGAATCCGGATTTTTTGTCACATAGTATTTTTCTTGGGCAGGTAATGGTAGCAATAAACAGGTTAAGCAGCTTAGATATACTGCTTAGCAAATTCGAATAAATTGGATCAGTGAATAAATAATAGGATTCCAGGTGCATCTTCAATGACCATAACTTCAGGAAATCAATAAAAGGATTTCAATGGAAAAGAAACGTACCTAATGGATTGTTACGAAGACTAAGCTGTTGCAGATTTCTGAGCTTCACAATCTCTGTTGGCAGCGTCTAAATATTCAAAAATATTATGACCAGTGATGAAAGAAGTAAGTAACAGTAATACATAAGGATGATTATAACTTACTTTCAATACATTGTTATGTAGCGATAAGCTTTCGAGGTTTCTAAGCTCTCCAAACGTGGATGGAATCGTCTCCAGCTGGTTGTCGCACAACGACAGCGACGACAGCTTATGGAGCCTTCCAATAGTGGCCGGGACATCATGCAGAAGATTCCCACCAAGATAGAGGATCTCCAACCTGAAGTCGTATGATATTGGATTCAGCTCCACTCGCTACTAACTTGTGGGTCTTTCAGGACATGGAGCGTTTTTTCAAAATGGTTTCCTGAATGTTGTAGAGGCTCATGTGAGGAACACAGAACCATGGTCCATTTTTCCTGAACGCCCAGGAATGTCAAAACAGCGGAAGAAATGGTCCAAAGTTCGATCCTCCGTGATGACAAATTTTTGCAATTTATGTTGGCGCCTCCAAATTGCCGCAAAACACGACAATGACATCTATTCTCGACGATGGCGCCATTTGGCGGCAATCTGGGGCGCCAAACTATATTGCAAAAATTAGTCATCACCGGGGATCGAACTCTGGACCATTTCTTCACCACTGTTTTGACATTCCTGGAGGCGTTCAGGAAAAATGGATCATGGTTCTGTGTTCCTCGCATGAGCCCCTACAACATGCAGAAACCATTTCGAAAAAGCGCTCCATGTCCTGAAAGACCTCCCTTGTATGTTGCCCCTGGTCATACCTACCCTTGCAAAGTAATCCCCACTATTACTAGTTCCACACTTGCAAAAAAATCAGCGCAGATAAGGCTCACTAGCGTGAACGTCCATGCATCAATAATCGAACCAAAAAAACAAGTTCGCACTCACTTGGCCATGCTTCCAATAGCATACGGTACAGTTTCGATACGATTTCCACCAAGATGAAGCACCCGTAAACGATACATGCTGAATACAGGTGGTGGTACGGTCTCGAAGCGATTGCCGGACAAATATAGAGCTTCCATGTGCTCCAGATTAGTCATCGATTTTGGAAGTTCTTCAAGAAGATTATTACGTGCGGAGAGAGTCCGCAAGTGTACCATGGAACCGACATCTTCTGGCAGCACGGTCAATCCATTGTTTGAGACGTCGAGACTGAAAAAGGGCGATGTTATGGAGGTGATAGGACGTTATCAGGACCAACAAGGACACACTAAATGCTTACCTGACTAGGTTTGCAAAAGCTGGTAGACATTCAATGTGTAGTAGATTGTTTTTGCTAAGATTCAGACGGCGAACTTCGATCGGATCGTACTCTTCGCCAGTCGTTGGATGTCTGCGTGGCACACGTTCCAGTCGTTTCCCTTCGAAATTCAAGTCGATTTGACGAGAACTGCAAGAAAAAGCAATGAGATATGGATGGAATGTTGGCAGTACAGCTGGAAAGTGGTTGGCAAATCCACGGACCTTCCAGGCTGTTCCAAAGGGAACGTCGACGGTTGCGGTGTAGTGGATTCGGGTGCCGGCAGCATCACGCGACGACAACCACCTGCTCTATGGTGCGGGTCTGGCGCAAAGTCGACAGGTCACATGTGGTGCACGTGTTTCGGTGTCCCCTCCCACTATCTCATTGACGGGGAACTACCCTATTCCCCGCCTCCCCCGTCGCATTCCCCGTCGTATCTTATTTCTCGTTTTGGTTGAAGAGGACGAGACAGTGCAGGCACCGCATGTTGCATGAGCATTTTGTAGGCGCGATCGCAAGGCTGCTTCAACATTCCAGTTTGCCCGGGGGTTTCCCTCGTCACGCGCTATGGTTCCTGTCGAAAATATGTACATATCATGGTTGGACGTGGGAAAGATTCTATGCTGTGCGAACTTTCAATCCAAAATTAGTAACTGATTTCCAAATAGCACAGTCACTGTAACCCTCGCCAGAAAAATTCACAAAATTCCCCTTAGAACTGGTAACGGGAAATCTAATGGAAGCGCAAAACCAGAAGAAGTTTCTGGAAGAACAAAGATTGATTAATTTTACTGAGCTCGAAAATCAGAGAGTGAAGAGGGAGATGTAGCTTATATCAAACAATCTGTGGAATGAAATCGATGGAATGAATCGAAATGGAATCGATCTAGCCGATTGTAACCAGTTCGCCTTCGTGCTTCTAAACCAACTACAAACTATACCTATAAGGCGAATTTTCATAGAAGTCTTCTCAAAAAGTCTAATGTTAAACATTTTCTAGCGCTTTTTGTTGCAAAACGGGGGAGAAGAGAAATGGGTGGTAATTCGCTTGAAAATAGACAGAGCTAGATAGGATTAGTCATGAGTTCTCGTAAGATGTGAGAGTATTGGTTTGAAGATTTTTATGGGCACGTTTATATTTTTCTGAAAGCACTACTCTATTTTAGAGCTACCCATGGAGGTTTCAGAGATATAGGAACTAGTTTAAAAAAATCCGCGTTTTTGCCCCTCCTGATCCCTGTTCGACGGAGTATTTTTCGCGGGATAAGTGAGGGAGTCTTTACTGAGATAGCTTGGAGGATTGTTGGGTGGAGTCAGGCCCAGGATGAGGCAACGTTGACACTTCCCTGATAGGAGGTCATATTTGGATCGGGTGGAGGAGAAATCGTAATGGGTGGAACAGGCAGAGCATCGCGAAAAGGTGGATTAGGCTATGATTTCTAAAATTCCGCTCGTTCGGAACAACAGTGACTAAACGTTTGGAGCGAAACATGACGCGATTTTTAAAGGAAGCGGTCACGCTGGCTATGGGCGGAGACGCCGGAGACGAGTTAGGCACCTCATTGGTGAAGGAGCACCGCCATTGGTGGAAGGGCCGCTTTTCTACGCTACCCACCAATGACGACATTTCCAGCGATGATGTGCCTAACTCGCTCCACCTCTCATCTCTTGCGACTGCCGCCTTCAAGGCACCTACTCTGCTAGTTCATCGAAACAACCTCTCGTGAAGAAGGTAGCTGGGTCCGCAGCCGCTGAGATAACTCCACTTTTACCACACAAGAGTCACCAATGACCTATGTGCTCATGACTTGCATCCATGCACACATTACGCTGCTGGGCAGCAGACCGCTGCAAATGCACAGTTGTCTGCGTCTCTGTCGTCCACTACACTTTCTCGCATCTGGGTATGCTCTCTTGCGGTGCCCAGTGTTTAGAATCGTATAGTGCACAGGTCGAAAAGTCAATGTAAGCGGAGGTTTCATTTCACTTTTCTTCACTAGAGGGTCGAATGGCACTTCATCTTTGAACACCATCACACCGTTTCACTATCGCGCAATGCGTCTTTAATCGAGAGTGCGACTGACTGAGACATGTGTACTCGGCACGATTAGAGGCCCAGCTGGTGGTTTGATTTCTCGGTCTATGCCGCATTGTTATGCACCCAGACATGGGCCAAAGAATTCTTTCAGAGACGATAAACTTCCATAGAACGGCTTAATGGCTAGAGGGGTGGTGACCGTCAACATAACCTCACTTCCATCGGGTAAACCAAGAAATGAATCAAAAACTGACTGTCATTTCGGTAAAGAAGAAGAGCAAAAAAGCAGAGAAACTCATTAAGCACACTGAAAGTGGGACCCGTTCTCCGCCCATTGATTTCAAGTTTTGACGAGAGAGGATCCATATGCGAAAATCGGCCTGCAAGGAGGGAGGTAAGGCACCTTGGTCCAAAAACCCGCCTACAGCAATCCCAATTTTTCCAAGGAAGTGAGAGCAGGTGGACCAAGTCCTTGTAGGGAAGGAATTAGGTTGGTATCAGGTTGGTTTTCTGAATGTTTGGAATGAAGGAATGTGTAAGGGTTTCAAATGTGTTGCTGTTTCTGCACTGAAATGCCCCCCCCCCTTCGCAACTACACTTAAGCCTGACTGAATAATGAACCGAAAGCAGTATTTCAATAATAAAGTTAAACGCAAAACAACTGGTTCCGAGTGAAAAAGGATAAGGGCTGACAGGGTGAATGGTTTTTAGTGTGCCATGGCAAAAGGGTGGCCGTCGATAATTTTGATCATGAAAACAGCTGAGATCAAACTTTCAAAAAAGTGCTTTCTATGTAACGATTTCTTAGTAGTAATCAGTAAAAATTTGTTCTACACATTCAGACATGTCTGGTTACTGGTTTTTGCTTCTCTATATCAAAATGTACCCTATAACATCCAAGCAATTCAGTTGGTTGCCCATCATGCCCAATCGACGGCCAGGTGGTCACCAATTTCGTATTTCGTTTTTCCCTACTTCTCTCCATTCCTTTCAACTGTTTACTCTTCCCCCGTCTAAAACGCTTCAACAACAAACATGGTTGTCAATACTTGATCTGACAAAAGAGTGAAGTGATGTCTATTTGACGAGATCAATCCTTGAGATGCGCCATGCATCGGAATTATATTCACAATAGCAGAGGCTTGGAGTGCGTATCTCGCCGATGTAACGAATTGTGGTAGCTGATTTTCAAATGAGCGTTTGTATTCCATTTATTCCACTACAATTCCATTTACTGGAAGAATCTGGGGGATAAGTGGATTGGTTGGTCTAGTGAAAATCGCCACGCAGACTGACGTAGCTGTTATCTGAATACGATACTTAAAGGAATCCTTCACGGAAAAATCATGATTCTATTTCAGCCATAAATCACTGGCTTGAGACTCATTATCCACGATAAGAATGAAAAGAACAGAAATATTGCTTTTGTTTTGGTAAAAAATTCGAAAAATCGAAAGGGCTGCTACGCGTTCAAAGTGCCCACGGACGTCTTTCACAAATGCTGGCGACGGGGATGCTTCCACTTGGTTCTTGGAGTGCCTTCACTAGAAACTCTTTCTGGCCTTCTGCTTTATTGCATTCACATCTTACACTTCTACTCCATCCTATTCTCGATCGATTTGTCTCTACTCTCCGAAATCGCGCGCTTTAACCCGATTCTTTCATTGCGTCGCCTGATACGTAGCCGCCCCAAGCGGACTTCTTCCATGCCCCGCCTTTGGCTCCGCCCGAATTACCTTCGATTGTCCATAGAGTGTAGTTTTTGTACGTTTGTTTCTCTTCGGAAACCGAATCTTCATGCGTGAAACTTTGTGTGCTGTTTCCAGTGATCACAACTGACACATTCATGTTAAGGAAAGAATGCAAGAATTTTCCGCGAAGGATTCCTTTAGGTGAGGATTCAAATAAAGCCCTTCTGAATGTTACCGAGCAATTTTTCTTCCAAAAAATAAGCACTTGAAGGAATCTTCCGCGGAAAAAGCTCCGCCTCCATTACCACAGAAAAACGATACCCCTTAGGCCCCTAGCCTCATGAGCATAGCAAAAAGAACGGAACATAAGCGTTAGTTTCGATACACACAGACAAAATGATCACTCTTTCCGTGGAAGATTCCTTTAAGGTATCGTTTTCTGTGGTAATGGGGGCGGAGCTTCTTCTGTGGTTAAAGCAGCTAAAAGCAATTAGCCGTACTCTTCGTTCTCATCATTCCCCAAAGCGCCTGCCTAACAATAGAAAAGGAAAGTATTCCCCCAAAGTGCATCGCCTGGACTGCAAAACACTGAATTTCAGTCTAGTGATCGTCTATTCATGTTAGGTCCAGTGGAAATGACTATGAAATACGTCACAAATAGATGTGTGCGTAGTTCGTTTTAAAAAACATTGTGAATAATTCCGTAATATTCTACGCACGTGTCCATAAATAGCGCAGTTTTATAGTGCTGCCTGCTCGTGAACAAGTTTTGGGCTGCGTCGACTTGTAACTCATGGGTGGTACAGTGATTCATACTTTTTCTCAGTTTATATCAGAGTACAAGAACGTCATAATCAGTAATGGTATTCGGGGGGCGGGGGCAAAAAGAGTCACTTCTCTCTACATATGAAACTCAATTAGTTGCACTTGGCTGAACTCAAACTGAATGACCCTGAATATTTAAAAACGCATTCCTTTCTATCGATGAACGTCGTGGTATCCCTTTACACTGACGACATCCTAAGAATTCCCCATAGAAACGTATTGCACGATACAAGCTCTAAGTGGCCCCGACGGATCATGGACCATAACGACGTTGTCTGGATGGTGGTCCAAAGCGGCCTTTCACAGTCACAACTACTGCATGTAGAAGATTATCCACAGCTCTACCGAATAATGGAATTAGCAGCTTCAGGCAGGAGCGCTCACGGTAGGCCTCCTAGAGCATGGCAGATGACGTACCCTCGCCTTCAAATGACCAGAAATTGTGCAATTGCAGAAATTGACGTGGCATTAACGTGGCATCGATTCAAGAACATCTTTGAGCACACGTGATGTCACCTTTTCATCGAGAATTTAGCCACGTGTGCCAATGCCACGTCAATTTCTGCAATTGCACAATTTCTGGTCATTTGAAGGCGAGGTTATTTCGTTGGATACGGTGAGGGTAGTGAAGGAGGGCTCGCTTTTGCTTATGGTGGACATCCAAAAAATACTTCGCCATACAATTCCCATTAACAGCGACATCCCGAATATGCTGATGTGCGCCGTTGGTAA